CAAATGAAAGCGGTTCCATATAGTTCAGCTGTCGGAAGTTTATAGTATGCTCAAATGTGTACTCGCCCTGACTTAGCATTTGTTACCGGGTTACTTGGCAGATATCAGAGTAATCCAAAAATATAACACTGGAAATTTGTAAAGAAAGTTTTACGTTACCTGCAGGGTACGAAGGGTCTCATGCTAACGTACAGAAGATCTGATTTCCTGCACATAGAGGGGTATACAGATTCTGATTATGCGGAAGATGATAGAAAATCCAAGTCAGAATACATATTCACTCTCGTAGGAGGAGATATATCATGGAAAAGCTCAAAGCAAACCGCCACTACATTGTCCACAATGTATGCCGAGTTTATATCATGTTATGAGGCCACAGGGCAGGTGAATTGGCTGAAGAAATTCATGTCCGGGTTGAAAATGGTAGACGACATATATAAACCACTCAAGTTATACTACGATAATAATCCAACAATATGTTATGCTAACAACAATAAGTCAAGTGATGCTGCCAAACACATTAACATAAAGTATTATGTTGTGAAAGATAAAGTCCGGGATCATATAATTAGTCTTGACTCTTGAGCATATAAGAACAGAAAAGATGCTCGTGGATCTGCTTACAAGAGGCTTATCACCCAGCGTGTTCAAAGAACACTTAGCCGACATGGGTTTAAGGGAAAGCCTATGATTTCTGGAAAATAAGGACCTAGTTGAGAATCTGTTTCAAAACAGAGACTTGCATTGTAGTTGTTTAATCTAATGGCAACTGACCGTGACGATGAGGCACGCTCTATGCACTGATCTGTGATGGAATGGGATAAAGATAAAGTAAGTATGTCGAGATTAAGTCATAAGGTGAAATCAAGGGGGAGAATGTTAGATGATCTCCAACTAAGGCCAATTGGGCCCTTGGATCCGCGCCCTGATCGGAGGCGTCTAACCCTACATGGTTGGTGGGTTCCTGGTCACACTGCACTATAAAGAGAGGTGGGGGCCGGCGACTCTCTTAATGAGGTTGAACCGAGTTACAGTGGCCCACTGAAAAAAACCTAGCCCGATCGAGACAGGGAGCGCAGCCAGTGACGGGAAGCCTCCACCGTCTTCACTGTCGGGACCCGATGCCGCCCCTGTACCGCACCACTTCACTGCTATATCGCCACCGCCTTCATCGACTCGGACCGCACCACCACCATCGCCATGGACGGCTCCAGCAGTTCCTCCAAACCCTCTGATGGTCGGTAACCTATCAGGCTATCACCCCTCTCTCCCTCTTCTCTCTATCTTCTAGGTTTATATGAACTAGGATTTATTTATCACGAATGTAAGGTCTTTTACCCACTAATCTATACCTAGATGTATCCTAGGGTTTTAACAGTTTGAACATACCCAAAGACAAAATCTAGTTTTTCCCTTCCACCATTGGTTGCGATCAGATGCATATCATCCCCTGCAAGGACACCCATTGAGGAGCTTTGGTCTGCGTATTCAATTTCATAGTCACACTGCTTGCAGGTTTTACAGTAGTTCTGGTTGCCTTTTGTTTGTTCAACGCTGCCGCAAGTGAATCAACGTTAGCCACTAGCCACAGTGCCACACGGATAAGCTTACGCTTGAAAACAACCTTTGGCGGAAATTCCATGGAGCAGTGATTGTATAATGCGATTGTATAATTGTGTGGTAGCTTCGTGTAGCGTAAGGCCGTTCAGCCATTCAAGAAGCGCGATCCCATCAAATCTGGGGTGTCTCGACACGCGTGGACACCTAACCTGATGACGGCATAGGGCTTCAGATTCTCGTAGAAATATTTTGGATCATGATTCTTTCGAGAAACATTTCTGACTATGAATCGGAATCATTTTATGAAATCGTTTGGTTGGCCATCCGGATTCCGATTGAAAAAAATTATTTAAATAAAAATATGTTCAAAAAATTCTAAACTTTTTTTGTGGATGGAGAACAACTTAAATAACAACTATTTTAACTTGTTGCACTAAAAAGAAATAACTGAAAAAATGAACCAAAAAAAAGTAAAGAAGCAATGAGATGAGAATCTTTATACTATGAATCCTGGGTCCAAAAGCTGGCCGGCGAGAGTGGCCACGTCGCCAGCCGTTCCCGGCCGTTGGATCGGACGCGGACGGTCCAGATCGGGCGAGCCGCGGTCTTTTTGCAAAAACAACCTCGAACTTTAGTATAATCAACCCGCAGTCCAGGCCTCCTCTCAGGTGTTTTTGCAAAAAAGCCCCTTCGTTTCTTTCCCCATCCTTCCCCCGGCGATAGACCGAGACCGCGGCGCTCGCTCGTCATCCCCAAGCTCGCGACCTGCGAGTCTGCGACACCATAGCGACCGGTGGAGGCGCGGTTCAGGGCCTCTGCTGGCTGGCCAGCCTCTCCCCCGCCCGGATCCGTAGATCCCCGGCCGCCCGAACTCCGCCGACGCCTCCCTTCCCTTGCCGTACGCCCGGCTGCTGGGCGCGCTGCTGGCTAGGGTTGCAGGGCCGGCGGCTGGGAAGGCCGCTCCGGCGGCCACCGGAGCCACGCGCGGCTCCCCTCCTCCCTTCCCTGGCCGCGGCAGGAGCCCCTTGGCCCGCGGCTCTCTCTCGTTTCCTCTTCCCTGTTCTGCATCCTTGACAACGGCACCGTCGAGGGGCTTCCAGCTGACCTTAGCAGCAAGAACGAGCTTGCGCAGTTCTGAAACGACGACCGGAAGCTTGCTGCGGCACAGGATGTTGCGTTTGATCACCTGTTTCTTCAGGCCAGCAGAGCAGCGAGCTAACAAGTTCAGCAGGGCCTTGCGTTTGATTGGAGTATCTCTGTTCTTTGCCAAATTTCTCTGAATTTTGCATGTAAAAATCTTAGTCGACCTTAATCAAATTTGTTCTTGGTATATAACTCTACCAGTTTGGTTCAAGGGCAGAGATTGAATTCTCAACGGTTTCGAAGATCTAGAGCTTCAAAGTTTTGTAAATTTGATACACAATTAGGATCCAGGTCCAAAGCTTCACAATTAATTTCCCTTTTCTAAAATTGCGTTTGGTCACCTGTTTCTTCAGGCCAGCAGAGCAGCGAGCACCACACAGGACCGCGCGGCAAGGCCGCGCTGCTTTCTAGTATATACTAAACTAGCCTCTAGCCGTTTCGCATGTGTGTAGAAACGGTGAAACGTTTCGGTTTCGAATCGCTTGCTGAAAAGACCGTTAGGAAGTGATTCTCATCAGAAACTGAAACGTTTGTCCTATCCAAACGGCCTGACATATTGACATCTTCAGAACCATCAACAAACGACGTATACTCTTTCCGTACCAAAATAAATCAATTTCTAAAAATCACTATGATTAAACTATTTTAAATTTAACTAACCCGGTAGAATAAAAACTCTATAATACTAATGTAATATCATAAATATCAATATTTTGTAAAAAATAATTAAATATAAAGTTTGATTTAAAACAAGTCTATACGTTGATTTAATTTCAGACAAAGGGACTACACAAGGCTTTAGGTCATCGGCTACCTGGATGGCAATGGGAAAGAAGGATGATTGAATTAGGTTCTAGAATTTGGGGCTGGTTGACAGTTTTGGTATGAGAATTGTCGCGTTACATATTGAGTTTTGTGTTTTCTCATCCACCTATATAAGATAACACAAAGATTGAAATGGCCTATTATATTCACTTTATTTTCCGATAGATTTATACAACAATGCACTACAGTCCTCGGCGAAACCAAAATTGTTCGCTCACCCTCGTAATCCCTTTTCTACTCACGAGTTGCACGAGCCCATTTGGCGATATCAAATAAAACATGAAAAAGTCTATTCTATCTTCCTGAACTATCATCATAGTTTATTTTTTCTTCTTGAACTTTAAAATCAGACATCTTATCCCTGGAACTTCCAAAACCATTCGAATTACCACCTTTCCTTTGATCTGGAGTGGTTTTGAATGTAGTTTTGTCCTTTTTAGTTATTTTTTTATAAATAGCTTATAAGGTTTTTTAAAATCACATTAAATATTCTAAGCTTTTATTTTAAAAAAAATAGAGATTGATCAGGTTACGAAAAATTCAAATAAAATATTTAGAGCTCATGAAAACATCTTTTAATCTTCAAAAATAGGTTTAGCTATAGGGAAATGAAAAAATGTAAAAAAAACTAGAAATTTCCTAAAGCATTCTGATCAATGTACAAACATGTTTTAAAAACTATGCATGATAAAAATAGGAGACGCAAACAGCTCAGGTGCGACATACATTAATGTTGAATGCAATCATGTTAGTTGCATATTATGTTTTTGCCGCGAAAATTTTCAAAACACATTTACATATCAATTAAAACATTTCAAAATTTTATAGCTTTTTTTTTGGATATTTTTCATTTCCCTAGAGCTAAGTCTTTTAAAAAAAAACATCTAGGCATATTTTTATGAACTCTAAATATTTTATTTGGATCTTTTTTGTATCCTAGTGTGTCCCTAGAATGCTTTTAGATTTTTTAAAAGCCCGGAGACATTTTCATGGTTTAAAACATTATCAAATAATTATTGTTTTTTAACTAAAAAAACAAAACCACTCTAGACTAGGACAAGAGACTTCAAGGATAAGATGTCTGATTTTAATGTTTGAGAAGAAAAATAGAACTAGGACGGATATATATTTTTTTTTGATCGGAACTACGACGGATAATTGAGAGAGAGGTTTTTTATTTTTTATGAGAAACAATTGAGAGAGAGGTAGAATGGACATTTTCAAGCATAAGCAGCCGAGACATGTCTGATTTGACCGTTCAGCCGATGAAGCACCAGGCAACTGGGCTGATATTACTTGAGGCCGGCAGGATATTTCTCCCACGGCCCACACCAAGGTTGTCTTCTCCGCCTAGCCGCTAACCGGCGCCCGGCGGTAAGCCACTCCCGCGAGCAGCGAGCTCGCATCTGCCTCGTGTAGTCGTTTCCACTTCCCACCCGCTGGTCCGTACCACACACGCCGCCGCGCCAGCCATGGACGCCGTGCTACCTTCCCTCCTCATCGGCGGCGGACTCTCCGTGTCCGTCTCCATTCCCACCGCCACCAAAGCCGGCAGCCAATCCATTTCAGTCCCCCACCTCTCGACCTCCGCCCTTCGTTCAACCACTCGCCATCGGGGCCGGCGCCGTTTTCTCCTCCTCGCCTCATCTTCGCAGTCGCCTCCCACGCCACTTTCCGCCGCTTCGACCGAGAGCCAGTCGCGTTCCTCCAGGTGGGTGGTTGTGATGGATACGCCCCCCGCCGTCGCCGGAGGCAGCGGGGTGTCCCGCACAGAGGCCGTGGATTACTACGCAGCCACACTGGCCCAGGTCGTGGGAAGGTGAGTAGTTTGGCATTCTGTAGCAAACGAGAACAATTGGCTTTGTTTTGCTTTCAACGTTTTTATGCTGAAAATATTGTGCGTAATTACGGCAGTGAGAAGGAGGCGCAGATGCGCATATATGAGGCTTCGTGGGATGGGACCTACGAGTTCCGCTGCGAGATCGACGAAGATGCATCGAAGGAGCTTGCAAGTATGACCTCCAATCCCTCAGTGAAGTACCGTGTGAAAAAAACTGATGTGCCTCGGTGCTCCGCATTAGTATAATTTTGTGAGAAAGCGTCACATTACCCATTTAAGTTTAATCCTGTACAGTGAGAGATGTGTAACTGGGAACAGTTATGCAGGTTTGTCGATAACTGCAGACATCTGTCTTTCTTATCTTATCATGCCATTCTCTGAATCATTCTAGTTTGTAATTGTTCTCCTTATTCAGACTCAGACATACTATTCCGAAATTTAGCATGCCAAGGTATAATTAAATTGCTTTGTTGGTTTAGGAATTGCACCACCCGTTGGACTGATTTCTAACTCATTTGATAACTAGAACTTCTGATTGACAAAGTGAAAACACGTGGAGAGGTACATACTGAAACTCATACATATTTGCTTCTTTCACTCTTCCTAATTTACAGAGATGCCTGGAGTGCTATCTGTTCAGCCAGATATGGGTAACAAATCAGAGAATGGTAACCAAAGCTTGAGTCTCTCAACAGCTAACCTTGTAAGCTTTAGTGATGGTGCTTCAACATCTTCAAGTGGGAAAAATGAGTTTTGGATTGTCAGTATGGAGAAGCCCGGAGTTCAAGTTGTGACAAAGGCCCAAATAGTGGATCACTATACCCAAATCCTTATGAAAGTGTTGGGGAAGTATGTAATCTCATCGTCAACCTAGCTACTACTTTATTAGTATCTGTCTGTTCTGCATGATAAAAATATTGTCTATCTCTCAATTTTTCAGCGAACAGGATGCCCAGGTTAGCATATATCACATTTCATGGGAGAGGAATTATGGTTTCTGCTGTCATATTGATGAAGAGTGCGCAAAAGAGTTAGCTGGTGAGCAACTTGGGATTTCATATCCCTTTGTATAGAGTTCTGACAAATCCCTGTCTTTGAATGCACTAAGCCATTGACAAAGTAACTTTGCATACCAGATGTTCCTGGAGTGTTATCTGTTCAACCCAATATGAACTTTGGATCAGACAAAAAAGATTACAAAGGTTTGTTCTCATTTCTTCCGCTTCTGATGAATATCCACTCATTTCTTAACACCATTATCTCAAGTCTCATTCCCACCATCTATGTGTATCACTGGCAGCCAAAATTCCTTTCTTCCTGTTCAAGACCTTTTATGGTGCATTTCAATGAAGGAAACCACCAATGCTGCTATACAAATCTTGTGCCTGGGTTTGGCCTTGTTTTCCATTCTAACAAGATATCTAGAGTTAATGATTTGAAAATTTGGATTAGTCAACCATAAGCAATTCCTATGAACTAAGTTGAAAACCAGACAGTTTCTACAAGACTAGAACAAGCAAAGGTTCTGACGTTTTTACCCCAAAGGCCAAAACTAAAATCCTATTTCTTCCCCTACACAGCATTGTATTCTTTTGCTGGTCCTTTGTGAGGTTCATTTCTATGGCCTGATCAATACGATGATGCCATCCATATACCAATTTTGTTATTAATCTTTCGAGGACTTAATTTGGTACATATACTCTGATTGAACATGTACCTAGCATGCCTGGAGTGCATCCGACGACTTGAATGTCCATGCTTGTAAGAGAGCTTGCATAAATCACCCAGATAGTAAATGCTTTTGATTGTTTCAGATGATGATGGCTTGAAATCATCTGAAGAGACTGGAGCGGCCGATATCAAAACTAAAAGGCTCTTTGTTACAGGTGAAGCACAACATATACTTTTTGTGCATTTCAGCTCATTTGTTTATTCATGTATCATTAGCATTTCTTCATTCAGATCTATTTCTATCTTTTGTTTGTCCCTAACCTTTGTGTACAATGTATGGCAGGGCTTTCATTTTATACATCTGAGAAAACTTTGCGGGCAGCGTTTGAGCCTTTCGGTGAGCTCGTTGAAGGTTTGTGATAGGGCAGCAAAAAAATTTGTACCCATTCATTTATCTTTTGCGTCTAACTTTCTGATTCATTGAACTGCTTTGTTACATACAGTGAAGATAATTATGGACAGGATATCAAAAAGATCAAAAGGCTATGCTTTCGTAGAATACACTACTGAGGAAGCTGGAGGTGCTGCTCTAAAAGCAATGAATGGACAGGTAGGTGATTAGAATTCCTATTCCACGATTAGCATTGTTACAGTTGTAGGATGTTTACAAACCTCTTGAAACTCACGGTTATACTTTTATGCGCAGATAATAAACGGCTGGATGATAGTTGTTGACGTTGCTAAAACTAGATCGAGAGACCGTCTATCTGGTGGACCTAATCAAGCATTTCGACCACACTATCAGGCTAGATGACTGTTTAATGTATAGAACTTACGGCTGTAGAGTAGAGAGAAGCACGAGAGCGAGGAATTGCTGGGGTAATGTCGAGCTGCCTGGTCTGATTGTAGTTCAGTGCCCTTGTCTCGTGCTAATTGCTAGAGAATACTCCCAGCAAAACATGTAAATGCAGCTAAAGTGTACGATTACTAACATCTACTTAATTAAGTCATTCTCAGATACAGCCCGGTTCCTGCTCATAAGTTTGCTCATAAGTTCGAGTATATATTTAATATTTATGATGGATTTTTTATTAATAAGTGATAATCTTCCTTCAAAGAAATTTATTACAAATGTTCAGAAAGAGCGAACGGTTCAGGTTCACACGCAGCTGATGTCAAATTATGTTTCAAATCCTCCAACATACGATAAATACCCTCGCTTTCCATATGCAGCTTGTCTGCAGTGGCAAAGGAATGTACACTCCCATCTACCTCTATCCAGCTGAGCCCAGGTTTCTTGGTTACTCCGTGCTCCTCCATTCTCCTCCGCGTCCTCTTCGAGTCCTCCCATTGCTTCGCCCGTGCATATGTGTTCGATAGCAGCACATACGAGCTACCATGACTTGGTTTTGCATCTGCCAACTTTGATGCAGTGAGCTCTGCAATCTTGACATTGCCATGGCTACGGCAGGCTGCTAGTAGCGAGCTCCAGATTACAAAACCAGGATCTTCAGGTAGATTGCTGGCAAGATTGAAGGCCTCCTTCAAGAACCCAGCGCGGCCAAGGAGATCAACCAAGCAGCCATAGTGCTGGATCATTGGCCTGATGCCCATGCTCCTCATTAGGTCGAAGTACTTGAAACCTTCACTGACAAGCCCGCCATGGCTGCAGGCGTTCAAGACGGTTACAAAGGTGACACCATTAGGCTCAATGCCCACCTGCCTCATCTTGACGAATAACCTCAAGGCTTTCTCTGGCTGACCATGTGCTGCGAAACCCGCGATCAAAGAGGTCCAATGCTCCACATTCTTGGTGGTGACACTCAAGAAGCAACTGTGTGCAGCACCCATGCTCCCGCACCTCGTGTACATACTGATTAGTGCAACCCCAAGAGCACCGTCAAGTGAGAACTCCCGACGGAGAACATACGCATGTGCGCTCTTCCCAATTCCAAGTAGACCAATGTCCCGAACAGCCGATACGAAGCCAACCATCGTGGCCTCATCTGGCGCTAATCCATAAGCCACAGTCATCTCGACAAACAAATCCACTGCCTCCTGCGCCCACCCATTCCTTGCACAACCAGCGATTATGGTGTTCCAAGAAACCACATTGCGCTGCGGCATTTCCATAAACACCTCCCACGCAGCGTCCAAGTCGCCATCTCTGACAAGCGCATCAAGCAGGACGTTCCAGGTGACCACCGTCCGGTCCGGCATTCCATCGAACACCTTCCGCGCGTCGTACACGCGGCCCAGCCGCGCGTAGGCTCGAACCAGGGAGGTGGAAGCTTGTACATCGGGGACAGTCCGCGGGACACCGGACTTGACGAGGAGCGCGTGGATCTGCTCGGCCTCGGCCACGGCGGCGGGCAGCTGCGCGCAGGCCGCGAGCGCGGGTATCAGCGCCGGGTTAGCGTGGAGGGCTCGGCCGGCGCGGTGGTGCGCGCGGAAGGCGCAGAGCGAGGCGTCGCCCGAGGGCGCGGAGGCGTTGGTGGCGGCCTTGGAGGGTCGGGGACATGGCGGGAAACCTGAGGTCGAGAGCGAGAGCATCGAGTGCGGCAGTGCGCCAAATTGTTCATGGAAGCGTGGTCATGCACCCCATCCCCATCCCCATCCCATCACTGCAACCTGGACAAGGATAACATGTCCTCTGCCTCTCTATTTTCTTTTCGTTCCAACAGTATCACATATATATATGCGCATAGCCAAAGTATTTAATTTTTTTTTCAGTTTAACTTACCTTACGCTTGCTACGTAAGAGTGTCTCCCACGAGTGACCCACGAGGGCAGGCATTCGAACGCAAAATGGGTACCTGACCAGTACTGTATCAGTAACATAATACTTATATAGGAGACCTATTTTGAGTGCTAAGAGAGACACAACCTAAATTGAAGTATCCCTTCTCCTCGAGACTTATTTATAGAAAGGGTTCTTTTTTAAGTTTTGTTGTTGGAGAAGACCTAAATTAGGTATTGAAACATTTGCTTGTAGCACTACCCAAATATGATATGGGCCTTGTATTTTGGGTTCTATTGTTGGAGATAATCTAAGAGCATCTCCAAGAGTTCCCTAAATTTTCCTTTAAAAAAACTTCATGTTTTTCAACTCCTAAAAATATATTAAGAGAAAAAAAATATAATCCCCAATAGTTTCTAATATTTCACTTCTCAAAAATCAAATTTGAGTCCCACTCAACTTTTTTTGTGTTCTTTTTTTCGTGCATACCTCTTCGTCCCCGCGCATACGTACGCCGCCGCCGCCATTTCCTTCGCGTCGCCCTAGCTCTGCTCCTCCCAGCCGGCCGTGGTCTCCTCCCAGCACTTGTAGTAGTTCAGTACCACGCATGCATACAGTACCATGCAGCAGTACACAGTAGCTAGGCATCAGCAGGTTGCCGGCCATCAAGTAGCAGCAGCATGTAGCCATCAGCTTGTAGCCGACCATCAAGTATTTCCCAAGTGCATAACTTTGATGTATACAGGGGATCGATACAGGATACTACTATAGATCGATTAGATAGATGGATGGATGTTGATGCAACTCCGAAATCAAATGGGCGGCCGGCCGGCGGTCGGGGCAATCGAACAAGAAAGGAAGCACAACACCACCTCCCAGCCTACGACGGCGGTGGCCAGCACGAAGCCAAGGTGGTGGCAGCATGACACCACCTCCCACCCTACAACGGCAGCGGCCGGTACGAAGCTAAGGTGGCGGCGGCGGCGCAGCAAGCCCACATCCACGGCGGCGTCGATCCTCTTCTTGGTGGCGAGCGATGGAGTGGCGAGTTCCTGGTGGCGAGCGATGGAGGAGCGACTTCTTTCTACCGTGACCCAGAACCACCGATGGAGAGCGCGCGAAAGATGAACTCGCGGCAAAATACGACGCGGGAAGAAGGACGACGCGCGGGAACGGCATCTCCGCGCGGCTTCGTCCACGTAAAGTTACGCGAAAGGGGTAGGAATTTCCCAAGGTAAATATTAGAAGTTGTTGGAGAGGGAGTTTTCCCCATCTTTCTAAAAAACAAGGATTAGAAGAATGTTTAGGGAATTCTTGCAGATGCTCTAACCTATTTGCATTGGATCTATTAAACAACTAATATTTAGCTGACTAATAGTTCAGTGCTTATTAACTCGGTGATATTTGGATCTCCCAACTAAAAAAGATGCATTGGTGGTTTTAAATGTAACGTTCTTCCTTTCCTATTTGCTATTGCTAGACTATGTGAATAGGGGTATGTGGGAGTATTAACGAAGTTTGAATAGCTAGTGAGATAGTTGTGTCGGCGCGAAAACGTGGTAGCCACGCCGGGTGGACACGCAGCAAGCCAGAACGATCTGGAGATCTGCCCGGCTTCAACGCAGGACCAGTCGATCCTGCGAATTCCCAAGGGCGTGCCAGTCAATTTGACCTGTAATTGACAAGGAAAGAAAGTTTATCAGTAATTTAGGGTGAAACATGCTGATTTTGCCTAGACAGTTCCAATCGTGCTGCTTCGGGAGCAGCCAGACGGAAAAATCGACTAAGTAGCCGATACGAGAAGAAATCGACTGTTAAGAACTGTAATGCTCGCGGGTCATGATTGGTTTTATAGTAACGAATACAATGCGCCCAGTTTTAATGATCCTTTCCCTTAAGCTATTAACATGTTGTCGGTGTTTCGAGTAAACACCGGCTAGTAAATTTGTATAATGTGCGTTGGACCTGGATGGTGTGCTAAGAAGACACAAGGATTATACTGGTTCGGGATGAATGTCCCTACGTCCAGTTTCGGGCTGCTCGTGTTACCAGCACTGAGTTTGTAATATGGGTTATAAACGGACGAGAGAGGGAGGAACTCCCAAGTCTCTGGTGTGATGCGGTGTGTTTGTTCGATGAATCAATCCTGATGCAGTACAGTGAACCGATGCCCAATAGTAGGACGCCCTGCTTTCCCTTTTATATGTCAAAGGAAACCAGGGGTTACAACCGAAGGGAAGAGAAAAAAGGAAAGAGAAATAAGGCTCCTAGAGATGTGCCATCCTCCTCTTCGCGTGGGTCCCACTAACCCTGTAGATTGTGGTGGCAGCGGTGTTGTACCAGGGTTTTGTTGGCCGCTACAGCTTACGTGCGGGCATCGTGCGCCATTCTTGTCTTTCATCCCATCTGAGTGAACGGAATGCTCAGAGAGTCCCCTAACAAAGGCCATGCGGGGGGCTGGTGGAACAGTGCTAGTCAACTAACCCTGGTTGATTGACGTTGGACGGTGGTCAGGCAGGGAGTTGGCAGCACAGTGACCACTCATTCATCACTGTCGGTGATGTGAGTTCCCTGGAATGACATGTCGTGGGGATGGGTCGTGCTGAGATGTGACCGCTTCCTACACGATGTTAGAAGTTTGACCTTGAGTAGTACTTTTTCTGGCCCGTAGTGGTTGGCGGCGACATGAGCTTCCATTAGGAACTGTGTTCGAGGGATCGGGCGAGGCGAAGCCAGCCCTCAGACGTCGGTCGAGGCGAAGCCGACCCTCGGGGGTCGACCGAGGTGGAGCCTACCCTCGGGAGTCATCCGAGGTGGAGCCAACCCTCGGACATCGGGCGAGGCAGAGCTAGTCCTCAAACATCGGGCTAGGTGGAGCGGGCCTTCAAACATCAGGCGAGGCGGAGCCTGCCCTCAGACGTCGGGCAAGGCGGAACCAACCCTCGGGGGTCAGACAAGATGGAGCCAACCCTTGGAAGTCAGCCGAGGTGGAGCCAACCCTCGGGGGTCGGGTGAGGCAGAGCCCACCACCTTAGTGCCCATCGAAGCGAAGCCAATCCTCGGGGGTCGGACAA